CCCCCCCATCAACCCAACAGCCCTTTAGGCTTCTGCTTTCAGCTATGGGCGCAGGAGGAGGTGACGTATTGAACGGAGGTTCCTCTCTCTGTTCTTTATGATTGTGTCGTTACGAGAGCTGCTGTTCTTTCTTTCTTCTGATCGAGCCGTGAGGAGAGTTCATATATTCTCTAGGACTCCTCGATGGTGATGAATTAGCTCGCCACAGTTTTTCTTTCTACTGGCCCGCCACACCTCTCGGCCTCTCCTTGTTCCATGGGTACACCGCAGGCGGGGGGCTCGGAGCCCCCCGCTTCCATCACTACTTCAGCAGCAGCAGCAACAACAGCAACAGCAGAAGCTATCTTGCGGGGGGAGCTGCGGCTCCGCCGGCCGCACCAGGGACCTATCCAGGGCCAGCACAGAGACAGTGACGTTGATGAGTACAAGAGCATCGATGAGTGTGAGAGTGATTCGTACGCTGCAGGCGCAGGCAAAAGGGGGAAACCCTCCTGCAGCTCCACCGCCACAAACACAACAGAAACAGACACGAACAAAAACACCACACAAACACTCAGCAGCAAACACGAAGCCAAGCAGGCAAGAGAGGAAGCAGCAGACACCGATAAACTAAAGGGAATAGATCCTGCAGTTACCGCGCCCAACAAACCCCCCGCCAATGAGCAGCAGCAGCAGCAACAGCAAGAGCAGCAGCAGCCAGAGCAGCAGAAAAAAGAGCAGAAGCAGCAGCAAGAGCTGCCGCAGCTGCAGCAGCAGCAAAAGCAGCAGCAAGAGCAGGAACAGCAGCAGGAGGAAAAGGAGCAGCAGCAAGAGGAAAAGCAGCAGCAGGAGGAGGAAAAGGAGCAGCAGCAGCCAGAGCAGCAACAGCAGCCAAAGGAGCAGCAGCAAAAGCAGCAGCAGGAGGAAGCAAAGCAGCAGCAGCGTCAAGCAGCTCGTTTGTTTATAGAAGTAACACCACAAATACAGCAGTTCCTTGAGCGCAGCGTCCCCCACAAGAAGCGGGTGGCGTTGGTCGTCAACAAAACCATCGAGCTCGATGTGCTGCAGAAACTTGTGAGGCCCCAAGGGTTTAGGGTTTAGGGTTTAGGGTTTTAGGGTTTAGTTTAGGGTTTAGGGTTTAGGGTTATAGAGAGAGAATGGAGAGATATGACGCGCGTATCATTCTCTCTGTTTCGCTTGTGTTTAGCGTCTAGGGTTTAGGGTTTAGGGTTTAGGGTTTAGGGTTTAGGGTTTAGGGTTTTCCTCCTCAGGTTAACCAGGCAAACGCCAAGGCCAGCAACAAGTGGCAGCGGGTATCGATGGGGGAGCTTGTTGAGGGATCGCACCTCGTGGGTAGGGTTTATTTATTTATTTATTTATTTATATATTATTTATTTATTTATTTGTTTATTTGTTTATTTGTTTATTTGTTTCTGTGTCTGTCTATCTAAATCTCTGTCTTTGCGTCTCTGTTTTCGTATTTCTGTGTTTGTGTGTCTCAATCTCCTTTTCTTTCTTTCTCTGTTTGTTTATTTGTATGTTAATATAAAAGTTATATATATATATATATATATATATATATATATATATATATATATATATATATATATATATATATA